GTCAATAATGACTCCAAGTTCCCTTTCTGCCTCCATGCTCTGGATTATTTCCAAGCAAACGTTACGATACAGAAAGGTCTTTCAAGATACAGTTGCTTCCACTCTGGTTCTCTAGTTGAATTCTGAGGAAACACAGTGCCTGATCCCACTGAACTCAATGCAAAATTTGCCATGAAACATAGTACAGCAATCACTAATATAAAGCTGTAACACTTGATTTTATCATAAATGTGATTAGTACTTAACTGCTGAAATGGTAAGGTACAACATGATATCAGAGAGTAACCTTAGGCCTGATTAAAAGACCATTGACGTCAACCAGAAAGTTTCCATTGACTTCAGTGGGCCTTGGATCAGCTCCAGCAGAGGATTTGGAATATTAAACTCTTTCCCAACAATCAAGAAAGCCAAAACACCAGCTTTACCATCATGAGCAATGCAAAGATTTAGAATTGTGATCAAGTGTGGACATGGTTAGCAAAATCAAGTCCAGCTGCAGTGTTTCAGATACTGAATAACAGAATGACCTGTTATTGAAGCGCATGGAATAATGTGTTATAAAAATGCACCATCGAAGAAAGGTAGGGTTGGGAGAGACTCCCAAGAGGTCATCTAATCCATCCCTCTGTTCTGAGGTAGGATTAATTATAATTAGACAATCCCTCGATGTGTGTCTTTAAAAAACAAAAATAGCCAAACAAAAAACAAGACAATGACTCCAGAAGCTCCCTACACACGTTCCACTGACCCCTGCCCTGGCCGGCCCCTCCCCCCAACCCTGTCCATCCCTGCCCCCCCACCGCATACTTAAAAACAAACAAACAAAAAACCCTGGCACTTACCGGCAGTTGGAGGCGCCCTGTGGCTGCCCGGGGCCCCGCGCCCACAATGTGGGGCAGGCTGACAGCCCCAGCGGCCCCAGCCCCTCCACTGTCCTGTGTTGCCCGGGGGGCTCTGCCAGGAGGCCTCAGACCCCCCCCACCCCCCGCTTCTTAGGTAAGCAGAGGCTTTTTTTCCCCATTTTTTTTCTGTTCTTTTTCTGGGGGGGGGTTAAGTGATGGTGCCTGGGGTTGTGGGGGTGGCCTTGGGGTGCAAGTTGGCAGGACCTTGCC